ACTTTGTCATATGGGTGTATTTTGGTGACTTTTTTCCTCATTCCATTGCCAGGTAACTACAAGATTATCAGCTGAACTTTGGCTTGGGTTACATCACTCTACAACACAATCGTTAAACCTGTCAAGAAGATCTGCTGAGAGAGAGAGAGTGTCACTGTCAGAGTAATCCAACACTACTGCTGCCGTACCACTGTGCAAAACCATTACAAACACTGAAAAAAAAAAATATATGTATATAAAAAGATATTCAGATACTTGGCCAGGAATAGGCTCAGAGACACATTGTCTCAGCCTGTGTGTATGTGTGTGTGTGTGTGTGTGTGTGTGTGTGTGTGTGTGTGTGCAGTGAAGTGGAAATTAATGTGTTTACTCTAAGTCTGACAGCACTAAAAGAAACCCACACAGGCAACTAAAAGCCATGAACAAACAAAAGCAACCAGTAACGAGGAAGAAGACCTGCGATCACACCGGCACACAGGGACCACCCCCTGTCCACAGGGGCATTTAAATTCAATTCAATTCAATTTCATTTGTACAGCACTTTTTTTTTTTACAATATACATTGTCTCAAAGCAGCTTTACAGAAATATCAACACGGTATACAGATATTAAAGGTGCAAATTTATCCCAACTGAGCGAGCCACTGAGTGGCGACGGTGGCAAGGAAAACTCCCTGAGATGTTTTAAGAGGAAGAAACCTTGAGAGGAACCAGACTCAGAAGGGAAAACATCCTCATCTGGGTAACAACAGATAGTGTGAAAAAGTTCATTATGGATTTATATGAAGTCTGTATGGTCTTAGAAGCAGCCGTAGTCCCAGCAGTCTGGAATTGGAGTAGATGAGAGCTCCATCCAGAGGTAGGACATCCAAAACGGATCAGGCAGGTCCGGAGAGCAGAAAGGATCAGGATCTCTAGTATCTCCATAAAATCATGTGCGGCTCAGCAGAAGGAGAGAGGGAGAGAAGAGACTGTTAGGACTGTGCTTAGCATAATAGAAAGTCTAGTCAGGGTAGACTTGAGTAAACAAATATGTTTTCCGCCTAGACTTAAACAATAAGACTGTGTCTGAGTCCTGAACACTAGTTGGAAGGCTGTTCCATAACTGTCGGGTCTATAAGAGAAAGCTCTTCCCCCTGCTGTAGCCTTCACTATTCGAGGTAAATGGTAAATGTGCACTTATATAGCGCTTTTATCCAAAGCGCTTTACACTGTGTCTCATTCACCCATTCACACACACACACTCACACACACACTCACACACCAATGGTAGCAGAGCTGCCATGCAAGGTGCTAGCGTTCCATCGGGAGCAACTTGGGGTTCAGTGTCTTGCCCAAGGACACTTCGGCATGTGGAGTCACCTGGGCCAGGAATCGAACCGCCAACCCTACTATTAGTGGACAACCCGTTCTACCAACTGCGCCACAGCCGCCCCTAGGTACCATCAGATAGCCTGCATCTTCTGATCTAAGTAGGCGTGGCGGATCATAGAAAGCCAAAAGGTCGCTTAGATACTGTGGCACGAGACCATTTAGTGCTTTATAGGTTAATAATAGTATTTTATAAGCAATGTGAGATTTCACTGGGAGCCAATGGAGTGTAGATAAGATCGGGGTGATGTGGTCGTATCTTCTGGTTCTAGTTAGGAATCTAGCAGCTGCATTCTGGACTAACTGGAGTTTGTTTATGCTCTTACTGGAACACCCAGACAATAAGGCATTACGTAATCTAGTCTTGAGGTGACGAATGCATGAACTAATATTTCTGCATCATGTAGTGACAATATATTTCTTATCTTAGAAATATTTCTGAGATGATAGTGGATGATAGGCATGATAGTGGGGGGAATAGTGGAAAGACTAGTCAACTACCCATGATCTGCAAGTGAAAGGGGTTATTAAGGAGCATGGACTAAAATCTTAGAGAGTGTTCATAGGGACTCTGTTTGTACAGGGTGAAAAATTTGTGGAATGCCCCCTGCCTGTCAACCAGAGACCTGAGTCGGATCTTGTTCAGCTGCTATAGTTACAGATGTAGTATACCTGAACCTCATTAACTCACCACCCATACTAATAACACTCTCAGTTAATCTTACTGGAAAATCTTGTTATGCACTGCACAAGTTCTGAGCTTATTCACATCCCTGATTGCCTCAGGGATTTTCTCCAAAGAAGAGAAAGCAGAAGGCCTACATCCTTGCATGTCTCTTACAGTTAAAAGAAGAAGAAGCCTTTATTTTGTCACATATACATTACAGCATAATGAAATTCTTTTCCGCATATCCCAGCTTGTTAAGAAGCTGGGGTCAGAGTGCACGATCAGCCATGAGCCTTGCTCAAGGGCCCAACAGTAGCATACCATTACACAGTACCTCTTGTGCCAACGGTGCTTAAGCAAGCACAAAGGGCCAACTTCTCCACATAGCAAGCTCTATGCAGCACATACCATTTGGACAACATCAAATCTATTGGTCTATTTCCTTTTATCTCAGCAATGATAATGCTGTTTTCAAGAAGGAATTGCTTCTTATCAAACTTTGTGCAAGTGAAAAGAAAAGACAAACTTTTTTCTTAATTCTTGGTCGAGAGCAAGACCCTATTTCGTCCACGTACGAATGCCAACAAGTCCAGTACAGATAACAACTTGAGACCAAACTAGATTCCAAGAACAGACTCGAGTCCTACAGTCCGAGTCAACGATCCCTTAATGTTGCATGTGTACTTGTGGTTCCTAGAGGCATCCTTCATTGCACAGGTCTAAATATACCTCGACAGGCCTCTCTTTTATATGAATATCCTCGGCTTTCACCCTCTATCGTTCCCCTGGTCGTGTGAGGCATAAAAAATGCTAGAATAGATGACTGAACAAGGAAAAGCAAGCAAACTTTGGAGGAAGTTCAGTAAACTGCACATGGATCTCTGAATCAGTATCATTGTCAACAAGATACATCTGGCTATAAAGTGCTGGGAAAGTATCCCACATTCCTAGCATTTACAACTGCCAAATTATCTCAGAATCTCTCACACATATCGTTGATCACAAACCTATCTCTTCCATGGTGCAGGGACTGGTGAATCAAGCTGAGCCACCCCTTTCTCTTTCATGGTTCAGGTCCTGCTGGAATACAAGCACCAGCATGAACATCTGGTTGATTCAGAGCGGTACAGTCTGGTGGATCACTTGTGGGTCAGACTCAGCGAGAGTTACCCCAACACAGGAAGCCATATGGCTTGGCTCGAGTATCCTGAGCCTCCTGACGTCTCAGTGAACACAGCTCTGTGAACGCAGACCAAACCTGTAGCTCATTAGCGTGTCACACATAAAAAGCATTCACAGTGTGTGATTGCTTGGCAGAGATTGCATAAATCCCGAGCCATATTTTCTAGTTATATCATATGTGCTCATTATCATTGTGTGGTCGACCCTGGACTGTATTTCCTCCCATGTGGTTTTGAATACCTCTGTGAACTTTGATTGTCTGGAAGTCTGTTCAGTGCAAATGTTTTAATACATTTTATTTACATTTCAGATCTTTACAACCCTGATGAATTACTATGAATACAGCCAGGACTAGATAGAAGGAAACTCTCATTAAATGAGAATACCACTGCAACTTCTGCCCGATACAAAGTGTGATGTCTTTGTTCTCTTGAGAGCTTCGCCTGCTCTCAATATCTGAGAATCCTACTCAGTAATGAAGGTAGGAGTAAAAGCTGAGAACTGGCCATAGACATCTGGAGAGACACAACAGGAATGGAGTCACTAAAGTAAAGGGCACAAAGACATGTTCAAACAGGCCAAGCAGTCAGTTTCATCTACAACCATTACTTACATGCATTTATGTCTGCAGGAAGAATTTACTGATTACTCACTCTGATAATGCCCATATATGTAATACAACACCCATCACAGGGACTAACCTGTAGGGAACATAACAAGTGTACATTTATGGACTAAATTCTAACCAGACTTTAACATTTAAACATACTCTATTGTTCCTCATTAAAATAAAGTCACGTACTTCGGTTCATAAGCAGAACAAGAATAAGCAAATTTAAGAGTTGTGGTTCTGCCAAAAGTTGTCAATTTCTTTGGTCCTCTAAAATTGATCAGAAAGGAAAAAGGAATAAAACACTCCAGGACATGCTGTTATATAAAAAATAATCAGTGATAGATTGGTGTGATGAAGCCGGACACCGAACTGAGTTACTGTTATCATCCCAAACGTTGATTTTTTTTTGATATCCCCAAAGTGTTTTGTTCCTCTTATACCACATAATTTGTTAATGATTGCTAAGAACGCATTTATCTGGGGTCAGCTCATGACAAATAATAGTTTGATTATTCGTTTAATGATAAATAAGGATTCATTTTATGGTCAGAGCCTTTAAGTGGTTTTCTCAGAAAATGTTTGCTACCACATGATAAAACCGGACAAGTTCATCCATCCATGCTAACGAACTTATCTGAGAACTTATCTTAGGATGCTAACGAACTTATCTGAGATTCCGGAGAACTAGTAGAGCCTCTGATCATCAACACAAGGAGGACACTTTATTGACGCTAGACATGCAAGAGTAAATATTACAGCAACTAAAAGATAGTAAGAAATGAAGATGTACTGCTCGTGAATAATACGCTAAAGAACATGTGCCGAATTATCATGTGGAAAAAACGATGCATGAAGTGAACACAGAACAGTTAAATGCATTGGTTGTGTGTTGAACGTAGCAATGGAAGAAAATTATATGCGCTGTAAAACCTGATAGTTCATTTAACTCAAAACAATTTTGAGGAAACTAATTACCTCAAATTTTTTAAGTTCATAAATCAATTTCTTTAAGCCAAATACACTTAAATATAACAAAAATGTAACTCAAACATTGTAATTTATTGTTATATTTAATATATTTAAATTTAAAGAAATTGATTTATCAACTTAAAAATTTTAAGGTAATTAGTTTCCTCAAATTTTTTTAGGTAAATGAACTTGTCCAGAGGGCTCACGGTGGCTTAGTTGTTAGCACGTTCGCCTCACACCTCCAGGGTCTGGGGTTCAATTCCCCGCTGGGGCCATGTGTGTGTGGAGTTTGCATGTTCTCCCCGTGCTGCGGGTCTTTACTCCGATTTCCTCCCCCAGTCCCAAAACATGCATGGTAGGTTGATTTGTGTGTCCGTAGTGTATGAATGGGTGTGTGAGTGTGTGTGTGATTGTGCCCTGTGATGGACTGGCACCCTGTCCAGGGTGTACCCCGCCTTGTGCCCGATGCTTCCTGGGATAGACTCCAGGTTCCCCGTGCTCCCTGAAGAAGAAATAAGCAGTTGAAGATGGATGGATGAATAACCTCCACTCTTCTGGGCAGTCTTTCCAGTTGATTTTGAAGCATGGCTGTGGGGATTTGTGCTCATTCAGCTCCAAGAGCATTGGTGAGGTCAGGCACTGATGTCGGGCGAGGAGGATTCAGATCCACTTCATCCCAAAGGTGTTGAAGGCGAGGTCAGGGCTCTGTCCAGGACACTCGAGTTCTTCCAATCCAACCTTGGAAAAGCATGTCTTTATGAACCTCACTTTGTATGCAGGGGTATTGACATGCTGGAACAGGTTTGTTTCCAGTAAAGGCAAATTGTATGCTAATCAAGTCTTCCACAGAATAACGTGTGGGTGTCCAAAAATAATAACATGACTGGTTGAGATATAAACACCGGATCTCATACCTGTATTTTGTGCTGCCAGCTCTGGTGATTCATTAGACCGTGTGACAGACATATAATCTCCCTGGTATTGCTAATACGCCACCTTCAATCAAAAATGGAATGTTTCAGTAAAGGGCAAATCTCAATGCTACTGCATAAAAGGACATTGTAGACAATTTAGTGCGTCCTACTTTGCGGTAACAGTTGTGGGAAGAATTTGAGGTGTGATGGTCAGATGTCCACACACTTTGCATTGGTGAGGTCAGGTATAGTGTGCATTAATCACCCAAAGAAACTCAGTGGGAAGACTGAAGGAGAACTGAACTGAAATGTGGTTTAAGGATGATTTAAATGATAAATGCCATGGCTCTCCCTGTTATCTTGGCCATATGTTTTTCTTCTGCCCTGATCTCCATGGTTTTTGGTCTGGCTTTTTTACCATCATGCTCAATTTGTTTTTACTTTTTGGGAAAGGGTGGGGAGGACAGAGCAGAAAAGGCGATTTAGATAGGCTTAGTAGAAATGTTCAACAGAAATGTTCAACAGAAATGTTTAGCGGAAAGGTTATTAGAAATGTTAGCAGAAATGGTTCATCAGAAGGTCAGCAAAAATGTTCAATAAAAAAGAAATGTAGAAATGTAGAAATGTTTCTGTAGAAATGTAGAAATGTTCTGTAGAAAAGTAGAAATGTTCAGCAGAAATGTTCAATAAAAAAAGAAACATAGAAATATAGAAATGTTCTGTAGAAATTTCAATAAAAATGAAACTTTAAAAAAATAAGATGATTTAAAATATATATATATTAAGAGCAATTATTTGAACAGTTAGTTTATAGTAACCCAACCCCCTACAAAACCACGGTCTAACACTCCTATCCAAATCTGGAGGGCTTTTCCACTTAACAACATCCCTGGTTATTTTCTATTAAAAATGCCCTCTGCTCCTCAGTAGACAAAGAACAACTGAACTCATCCTGTAGGAACATATTTGGCTGTATATATATACACACACACACACACACACACACACACACACACATATATATATATATAGGGTTGCATATATACTGCAGTATCTATAGCATCTTGTGGCAGCATTGCTGTTCCTAAAATCATAGGACAAAGACCAGACGATGCTTTTCCAATCATCAGCGGTCTGGTTTCAGTGGGCCCACTGTAGCATCAGATTCTTGCTCTACAGACTGGAACCCCATGTAGTCTCCCATGTAGCCCATCTGCCTCAAGATTCAATGTGCATCCAGTTATTTGAGTTACTGTAATCTTTCTATCAGCTCAAACCAGTCTGGTCATTCTCCTTTCACCTCCCTCGTGGAGAAGGTGTTTCTGAACACACAACTGCTGCTCATTGGATGTTTTTTTGTTGTTTTTTTGCACCATACTGTGTAAAAATCCCATGAGATCAGCAGTTTAGTAAGTTTAGAAATAATCTGTAATTGATAAAAAATATATATATATTCTTAAAGACGAATTTATTTGCTTGGTTAAGCATAATTCTGAGTCCAGGATGATACCAAGGCTCCTAATCAGGGATGAAATTGAGGGGAAGTGATTATGAAACTCATTAATGTGACCATCTCTCAGTCTCAAGGGACCTAAAACAATTATTTCGGTTTTGTCTTCATTAAGTTGGAGAAAGATATTTTTTAACCATTTTTAATATCGTTGAGAATGTCCAACAATATCGTCGAGACAGAAACAATAAAGAAGTGATTTGCCTTGCAGTCACTGAACATGAACCAACAACTCCTGACCAATCGTAATCAATGTAACGTCATTTCTTTACACTGGCCCAAACCTAATGTTGAAGGAACACTCACAGAGACTGGTCTTCATCTGACATTTCAGGAAAATCCTAACTACAGGGTGTCCCAAAATTCTCCGTACATAGGGGACTATATGCGCCAACATCACATCAGTTGTGCTTTCGTCAGTGGATGTTGGTGGATGTCCACGTCTCGGTTGGTCCGGAACACTTCCAGTCTTTATGAATTTGTTATTGAATTTGTTTATGAAGTGCATGATGTGCTTTCCATGTTTCCCGTTAAAGTCCATCGCAACCTTGAGACAGCTTCCCGATCCAGCCATGAGAATGACTTCAATATGTTCTTCTTTTCTCAAAGGCGTTCTTAAAGGCTATCTGAATTTTATTTATTTATTTTTGTTTATTTTGATAAAAGAAAGTGTTTATTTTCCTTGTGTATGAAGACTTTTGGGACAGCCTGCACTGTCAGAGCTGCTGTTAAGAGAAAATTAATCAACACCGTTTGACCAATTGGATTAAAGATTTCAACAAAGCTGTGCTATGATTAAAAATAGCCCACTGAGCCATACTGTTCGCTTTTAAACAAACCTATGACATGGCACGTGGTCTACCTTTTCACAAATATACTTCTCCTTTGCTGTATTTGTAACTTCTTCATTTATTGACTGATTCACAAGCGCCACCTTTCAGTCAGAAGTGGAAGTACAGAAATGAGGACGCAAATACTTTTTGCTTAAAAACAAGAAACAAAAATCCTAATTTTTATAATGTAATTATATAGGTCATCTATTATTATTATTATTATTATTATTATTATTATTATTATTATTATTATTATTATATATTTATTTATTTATTTATTTATTTATTAAACGAACAGCCATGGGCTGATGTTAATGTTTTTTAAAAAACAACTCTGACTTTAAAGTCACACACAGATTAATTTGCTCTTTGTTAGACTGACTGCCAAAAGACTTGTTTGTTGCCAGATAAGTTGGCTACTACTTACAGCAAATTTCTGTCAGCAAGCCAAACATTTCCTATTTCTAAATTTGTATTAACACGTTTGAAATGACTTAAGCTTTTTTTTAATAGCATTGTAAATCTCACGCAACCTGTAAAACGTCTTACACCATTTAGTACAAATGTAAACTTTTCTTCATCTCACAGTTATTTTCTTCTGCAGGGCTTCCTGTGGGGACGAAGGAAAACAGTGCGCATGCGCCGTGCTGATTGGATGTGTGTAATAGCCACCATTTTTTCCCTTTTTTTCTCACATTTCTATTCTGTTTTATTATTGCTTTTATTCTGTATTCTGTTTATCCTGTGTTCTGTATTCTGTTTAGATGGGTGAATGAGACACCGTGTAAGTGCAGACCATTACATTAAGAAAACTGTATGTAAAATAAAGGCAAAATACATTTTAAACATCAGTAAAGTGTACACAACAACCCTACAACAACACTTATAACTTGACTTTACCTTAAAACCTAAAAAAAAACATTAAAATAAATTTATTATTATTATTTTAAATAAAAATTTTGCATTAATGTGTGAATCCATTTATGGTTTTATGGAGTCTGGTTACGGAGGTCAGTTTAAAAAAATGTATTTAAAAAATAATAATAATAATATATATATATATATATATATATATATATATATATATATATATATATAAATTTTTATTTCTTTTGAAAGTGTCCCACAGCATTCACTCAAGCCTGTTTCCTGAACACGTTCACTCTTATGGAACAGGAAGTTGCATCATTCAATTTTCCCCGAGGATCATGAGAGGAAGAAAATTAAGCTCGTTTCCCCCCTTTATTTTGAATTCTAATAAGATACTGATTGACAAGGTCACATAAAAAACAAAAACAAAATTATAATATCCTTAATGTCCTCATGCCATTAGCATGGCTGCTAGTTAGCCACATTCTTTTTATTTGCTAATTCTATGCAAAATAATAATAATAAAAAAAACTACTTTCAACCCTGTTACTTATTTAAGATCAAGGTGCAACAAAGAAACCTTCAATGTTGAAATATCACATTTTTAAGAGTTACAAAATTGTGAAATTAGTCTATATTTATCTATCACCATATTTATCTACAAAATTTAGCAATATATACAGTGGTGTGAAAAAGTGTTTGCCCCCTTCCTCATTTCCTGTTCCTTTGCATGTTTGTCACACTTAAGTGTTTCGGAACATCAAACCAATTTAAACAATAGTCAAGGACAACACAAGTAAACACAAAATGCAATTTGTAAATGAAGGTGTTTATTATTAAAGGTGAAAAAAATCCAAACCATCATGGCCGCCGTGTGAAAAAGTGATTGCCCCCTTGTTAAAACATACTATAACTGTGGTTGTCCACACCTGAGTTCAATTTCTCTCGCCACACCCAGGCCTGATTATTGCCACACCTGTTCACAATCAAGGCATCACTTAAATAGTAGCTGCTTGACACAGTAAGGTCCACCAGAAGATCCTTAAAAGCTACACATCATGCCGAGAAGAAATTCAGGAACAATTGAGAAAGAAAGTAATTGAGATCTATCAGTCTGGAAAGGGTTATAAAGCCATTTCCAAAGCTTT